CCTGTGGAATTCGGGGTTTGAGCGGGAGTGTCGGGGTGTCTAAGGGGGTCGGGGTCGGTGTCGGTGGGGGTCTGTCTGTCGGACGATGGGGGTCGGTGGGGGTGTCGGTGTCTGTCTGGGGGTGTCGGTCGGGGTGTCTGTGTTGGTGTTTGTGCCCATGTTTATTTCTCCCGATCCCTTGTCCCTTAAACTCTCTGCCTCTCTGCCTCTCTGCCTCTCTGCCTCCTCGTCCCACCCCCCCCCCACGCCCCCTGTCTGTCTGTCTGTATCTGCGTGCACGGCTTGATCGTACACGCTTGCTGCGTGCCGGAATGTGCTTCTCATGTGTGTGCGTCTGCATCTTCTCTGTTGCTTAGGATGACCTGTTCGTGTGCGTGAGCGATGCGGCTCGCATGGACCCCACTGGCGCGGGATCGGCCACACTTGAACTGGTGCGCCTGCAATCCAGTGCGTCGCCGCTCGCCATCGCAGCCACAACGCCAGCGCCAGAACGAGCGCATGCCGTCGCAACATCCAAGGCGTTTGGGCCGCAACAGCACGGTGCCGTCGTCTGTGGCTGTGATGGAGGGCAGCTCATCTTCTGGAGCATTGCAGACTTGCTCGCGTACGTTGTCTCTGTGTGGGTGGGTGGATGTGTGGGTGGGTGGGGGCGGGTGTGTGTGTCTGTGTGTCTGTGGGTGTGGGTGTGCGGGTGTGTCTGTGGGTGTGTGTCTGCCTCTCTGTCTGCCTGTCTGTTTTCCGTGCACTCGCCCAAGTGCCGCCATGTCTGCCATACGCTGCTCCACCTCACTTTGTGCTTGGTCTGTGCTTGTGAAACACACGTCATCTCGTGTCACAGGTCTGGCGCCGCCGCAGACGGCGTCGTCAAACCCATGCACATTACATCCAGCGTAAGAGCATCCTGCTATCCACGACAATGCATTTCCAGTGGCCTCCTCCTCCACTGACACGTGTATTGTGTGCGTGTGTGTCTGTGTCTGTGTCTGTGTGCAGCACTGCGGATCGGTTGCTGCTGTGGACTGCAACGCCATCAATACGAATCTGGCGGCCTCTGGCGCCGCAAACGGAGAGGTCTTCATCTGGGACCTCAACAACCTCACCACACACTTCACCCCAGGGCCCAAGCCATCGGTGCGTATCTGCGTATGTTTTGTCTCTCTGTGTGTGTGTGTGTGTGTGTGTGTGTGTGTGTGTGTGTGTGTGTGTGTGTGTGTGTGCGTATCTGCGTATCTGCGTATGTGTGTGTTTGTCTGTCTGTGTGTGTGTGTGTGCGTATCTGCGTATGTGTGTGTCTGCGTGTCTGCGTGTCTGTTTGTCTGTCTGCTTGCTTGCTTGTGCATATTCACTGCCTCCGCCCTCCCCCCCCCCACGTCTCCCTCAACTTGATGGTGTCCCTCTTCTCTGCTTCTCCACCACCTTAACGCACCACCATATCAACCAACCAACGTATCAGCCTGCGGACGACGTGTCGTGCGTTGCATGGAACCCGAACATCACCTCTGTCCTCGCCACCGCCGCCGCCACGGGTCGCTGCCACGCGTGGGACCTCAGGTGCGAACGCCTGCAAGAGCAGCAGCATGACGATGAAATGGCGGTGGAAGCGGTGGTGTGTTGGTGGTGATGGTGGATGGATGGATGAATGAATGGATGGGACGCTATGGTTGTTGGCAGCTGCGGTTGCGCCTGCATCCAATGGCCAACGGTCCAAGCCATCCTGTGCTTGTTCTCGCTTAACCCCCGCCACTGTTGCTTTGGTCAGGGCAAGCAAGGCCGCGTCGTCGTTCTCGTGCGGAAACGCATTTGCCATCCAGTCGGCTGCCTGGCACCCAACGCAGGTGAGGTTGAGTTGGTGCACGTGGTCATTGTGAACTGTCCATTGACCCTGTTTGGACCGCCCCCAGGGTGCATTGTCTGTGTCTGTCTGTCTGTGTGTGTGTGTGTGTGTGTGTGTGTGTGTGTGTGTGTGTGTGTGTGTGTGTGTGTGTGTGTGTGTGTGTGCGTGCGTGCGTGTGTGTGTCTGTCTGTCTCTGTCTGTGCTTGTGTCTGTGTCTGTGTCTGTGTGCATTCCTACATCTGATATTCCATCCCTGTCTCCCTGCCTTTCTGTCTCCCTCCTACTTGTGTCTGTGTGCAGGAGTGGGTACTTGCGCTGGCGAGCGAGAGCGATGAGCTGAGCGGCGTGCAGATATGGGACCTGCGCTTCGCAAAGTCCCCGACAACCAAACTCACTCCGCACGCAAAGGTGATGAAGACAGTGCGATGAACTGGCGACAGTGCTCATGGGTTTTTGACGGTGGTGGTGACAGTTTAGTTGGTGACAGTGATGCTGCTGCTGCTTGTGGTGACCAAGCCGTGATGATAGCTGTCACGCCCTCACAGCCCATCGACCATTGTATATTCTTCCATTGATTCCTCGATCGTCTTGTGTCTCAGGGCATTCTCGGGTGCGCGTGGGACCGCACGAACGACCGGCGGCTCTACACATGTGCAAAGGTGAGAGCATGATGTGTTGATTAGGAACTGCAGTCACGCAATAATCATCATCATGTAGTGCGCGGGTACGGTCCCTCACACCAAAGTACCGTTCCACAAACACACGCACATTCACACACACACACACTCACGCACACGCTCACACACACACACACACACACACACACACACACACACTCACTCACTCACTCACTCACTCACTCACTCACGCACATTCTCTCACTCACACACACACACACACACACACGCACGCACTCACGCACTCGCGCACGCACTCACCCTCCCCCTCCCCCTATACACCCCCCACAGGACAACCGTGTGGTGTGCACGGATCCGGCAACAGCCGCATCGTTTGCGCTGCCGCCGTTCCAGCACTGGGTGTTTGGTGTCGACGTACATCCGCGCACAGGTGATGCGCCGAAATCACCCTCGCCTGTAACGTCATCACAGTCGCTGTTGCTCCCCGACCTCCTCTACGCTTCCCCCCCCCCCTCCAACACACATACATAAACACATTGCTGTAGTCTCACACCGTCTCACATCCTCCACCATCCCGCCCCCTTCTCCACTGCACCAGGTCGGCTGCTGTGCGGGTCCTACGATGGATTCGTGCGTGTGTTTGACACCACCGAGTGCGCGTTCACATCTGCATCCGAGTCGCCCGCCGTCACTGCACAGGCGTCAACACAGCCCCCACAGACACCTGTTGCAGCCACGACACCAACAACCGCCGCCACCACCTCCTCTTCTGCGCTTCCATCATCGTCGTGTGCGCGCGCACTGGCGCCCGTGGTGGCGTCGTTTGGGTTTGGGGGGAAGCTCGCAGTCACGTCCGCACACGCGCGCACAACCACTGTCTACCAGCGCTCTGATGACGAGGTCTGGATGGGTGTGAGGGGTGTCGGTGTGTGTGTGTGTGTGTGTGTGTGTGTGAGTGAGAGAGTGTGTGTGTGTGTGTGTGTGTGTGTCTGGTGTCTGTGTGTCTGTGTGTCTGTGTCGGTGTCGGTGTCTGTGTCTGTGTCTGTTTTGCATGCCTGCCTGATTGTGTGCGTTTCCGTGTTTCATCTCCCAAACCCCTTTCTTCCTTCCTTCCTTCCTTCCTTCCTTCATGCCACCACCGCCACCGCCACCACCGCCACCGCCACCACCACCACCACCAGGCGTTGGCTGCGACTGCATCGGCGCTGGCGGCCGCAATTGACAGCGGCAATGGTCACGAACTCGCCAATTTCTGCACCCAGCGCGCAAAGGCAGACCAAGCAGGGTGTGTTCTTTGGAATGTGTTTCTGTGCCTGTGTGTATCTGTATCTGTGTGTCTGTTTTTCTGTGTGCGTGTATCCGTGTGTGTCTGTGTCTGTGTCTGTGTCTGTCTGTGTACACGCCTGTGTGTTTGTGCGTGTGTGCAACTGCCTGCCTTCCTGTTCCAGTGTGCGCCCCTAGACAACACCACGCATCTAATGCTGCTCTCCTTCCTGGCTGTCAGGGCTGCGAATGTGCTGTGGCGGGCGACTGCAGCGGTTGTGTCGTCGTCTCCGCGAAACGAGCTCTTGCACATCCTCGAAGACATGTGGGTTCCAACACAGGCTCCGTGCGCAATGGATTGATGTTGATGGCCCTGACAGTGCCCCTGCTGCACACAGTATTTTTTTCATACACGCACTCTCACTTGACTCACTCACTCACGCACGCGCACACACACGCACACACCCACTCACTCACTCACTCACTCACTTCACTCACTCACTCACTCACTCACTCACTCACTCACTCACTCACTCACTCACTCCCTCACTCACTCACTCACTCACTCACTCACTCACTCACTCACTCACTCACTCACTCACTCACTCACTCACACACGACCAATTACCCCCGCCCTCTCTCCCTCTCTCCCCTCTCATGCCCCGACACCAGGCACGACCCGCCCGTGCCGGCGCTCGAGGACGTGACGGGGGCGGAGGCGGGGACATACACGCCGCCCGCACCGCCAGCATCGGTGGCGCCGGATGTGGCAACAGTGCACCCGCTGACGACGGGGCACGACTCGCTCATCAGCATCGCATCGTCGCACATGCACGCGCACACGGCAGACGTTGGGATGGTGCCGTTCATCAGCAGCACCCCTGCAGACAGCCCGCAGGGCAGCACGCACACGCCGGGGCACAGGCGCGGCTTTGACGGTGACGACGACGACCATCACAGCGATGCCGGTGATGAAAGCGGCCGTGATGGTGATGATCACGGACATGGCGATGATGAGGATGATGGGGGAGAGGGCGGAAACAGCAACATCAACGGCCACCACCGCAGCCACAATGGTCACCGCCATCAACATCAACATCACCACCATCATCACCGCCATCATCATGGTGCGCGCGTTGAGGAGGCGGTGGCATCGGCGCACGTGTGCACGGGCAACTTGCCGGCTGCCATCGATGCCTGCATGCACGGGAACAACATGGCAGACGCGCTTGTACTGGCCATCATGGCTGGGTCAGTAGCACGTG